GCCCTGCTTTGTTATTTTCTCAACAGATGTCTGGATAGTTGAAGTCCCCCATCACCACCAAATCATGTGCTTTGAATAATTTTGTTAGTTGTTTAAAAAAAGCCTCATCCACCTCTTCTTCCTGGTTAGGTGGTCTACAGTAGACCACTATCATGACATCACCCTTGTTTTTGACCCCTTTTATCCTTACCCAGAAACTTTAAACAAGTCTCCTATTTCCATCTCAACCTCAGTCCAAGTGTATACATTTTTGATATATAGGGCAACACCTCCTCCCTTTTTCCTTGCCTGTCTTTCCTGAGCAAGCTGTATCCTTCTATACCAATATTCCAGTCATGTATATTATCCCACCAAGTCTCTGTGATGTCAACTATGTAAAGTTGTGTTTATTAACTAACATTTCTAGTTCTTCCTGCTTATTCCTCATACTTCTTGCATTAGTATACAGACATCTAAGATACTGATTTGATTTTCCCCCTATGTTTTCTCTTGTCTCTCCTTTATCCCTTCTATAACAGCCCTTATCTTTGCTATATATTAGAGAACAAAATAATGTATTTTTACTCTGGAGAAGGTGGTTGTTTGTGCACCACTGAACTAGTGAGGTTGAGATGGAAGCAGAGGACCTGGATGTTAACTCTCATGGTAGTCAGAAAAAAGTGGTTTTAAAGGGGAGATAGTTAGACTTTGCTGATACTAGCTAATGTGTGTATCAGCTGTACAAACTGCTGTATCAGTTCTCTCTTTCCTATGTGCCCTTGACATCCAGGGCTTTTCCCATAGCAAGTTATTCGCATTGCCGGGAGCGGTGGAGTGCTGGGTTGGTATAGGTGGGACTCACAAGCTGGGTCTCCTCTACTCTATCTGAGACTGATACAAAGATTAGCAGGAGGGGAGCCTGGTAGAGCTGTTGCAGGGTTGCATTTAATAACTGGGCCATTGGGGACATTGCAGTGTGTTCCTCCTGGCGCCATCCCTCTCCCTCAGAAACACCCATTTTTTTTGGTTAGGGTTGTTCCCCATATCAATTCCTAAGGCATCTCCAGATTGCAATGGGGGCAGAGTCACCAGTGCTTCTCCCTACACCTCTTTCCCATTCTGGGAACTATTTCTCCCTGGACTTACAAACTGCTCCTGGTTTCTGAGATGAGGGGGGCAGGTCACAAGTGCTCCTACCACACTGCCTATTCCTCTCTCATTTTGGGTGCATGGGGAGGGGTGGGATTGAGAGGAGTTACTCCCCCTCTTCCCACACCCAGGAGTAGAGGGAGGAGCAGGAAAAAGGCAAACCTACCTCCAGATATCTTAGTGCTGCTGCAGCCTCTGCAGGAAGTCTCCACTGCCCCAGCTGTCCCCTCACATATCTCAGTAATATAGGCATCTATCTGGGCAGAGCTTTGACCTGCAATCCAGAATAAAAGGAAAAGGCGATCACTCTGTGCTCCTAAACATATAAAATAAAATCAAGAATGGCCATTTATTCACCCTGACCCTCATTTTTACAGAATATATATAGATATAGATACATACACACACACACACACAAGTAAAAACAAAAGTTAAAAAAAAAGAAAAAAGACAAAGGTAAAAAAAATTCAAAAGCACCTAACTGACTTAGAACTTTTTCAAAAGGGGCCTAAACCTCACTGAAAGCAATTGGGATCTGGGCTTCTAAATCACATAGAAGTTTTTGAAAATGTTACCAAAAGCACTAATGTCATTCAAGTAAAGTTTTCTCTCTGGCCCTCACTCCCAGGAGGAAAAGTTGCATGCTTTGGTTTTGAAAAAGCGTTTATGTTTTAAGTAAAATTGATACACTTTGTGCTGCTATGTGGCAAAACAAGGTCAAAAGTGAGTTTTGCATTTGGAAAAATGGCGAGGTTTGTTTGTGGTCATTTCAATTTCCTGCAGTAGTGAATTTCACAGTCTCATACCAGCCATCTCGAAAGCTCTGTCTCCTGCACACTAGCTTCATCCTTGTGACAGACAGTTCCCCTAAGGAGCAGGGCTATTAAGGTTCTGGAGGGTTAGATGGTACCTAAAATAATCTGTCCATTCAGAGCCTCAATAAGGAATAAAACCTAAAATTTGACTCAATGTTCTATAGTGAGCTAACAGACTGAGCAGCGTTTACTTGCTCTTGGTAACTCATATTGTTGCTTTGTAGCCTTTTTAGGGCTAATTCTTTCAAGCGCAAGGTAAATTGAATTACAATAACCTTTTCATGAGGTAATGGAGGTGTGCATGATTGAGATCAGCTCATTACTAGGAAGAAGGGGCTGAAGTCTTCACTTCCTAAATTGTTTCTTATGGAGGCTGCTATTTGTAAGACCAGACTCAGTCTAGAAAGATGTGTAACCTGAAGACTGCCTTGAAGATTTGTATACGTATGTACTCAGCTAAAGAAGAGAGCAGCATGAGGGCAATCTCCTTGAAGGGTTTTTCTCTGCCTACAAGCATAACCTCTGTCTTGCTTGGGTTTAGCTTCAGTTAACTCCTCCTAATCAACCTGCTGATCTCAGCCAGGCACCAGGATAGCAAGCTGATACTATAGATTGTGAACAGTTGAGTATAAGCTGTATATGATTAGCTACTGAGCCCATGAAATCTCACCCTTTCACCTGTATCTAGTAGCTAAATGTAATAATCCGATTCAGAATTGAACTGCATTTTGTGTAGTCATTTACACTAGTTTTTACAGTGGGCGTGAAAGGCTACTGTTCTGATTTGATAGCATGTTACATCCTTTTTGCACTCACTTTTCACTGGGATAAGTGACTACATAAAGTGCAGGGCAGCAGAAAATGGGTCCGAGGCATTTTGTTTTGAGATTTATTTATTTAGGTCTAGATTGTATTTTGCCTTCCTATAGGTTTGCTAAATAATATCCAGATCAACAAAAATAAAGTGATAGAAAAATGAAGTCAATAGTCTCTTCGAGATACATATCCACATCAGAAAGTGCCACACAAATCAAATATAGCTGGCAGTCTTTGTGCTAGAGTATCAATCTGGAATAGCAAAAGGTGCGGTACGGAGAGTTAGGATTGAGGAGCCTTCACGGAGATATGTGATGAAGTTTTGTATATTGCCCGCATGTTCAGCAACTACATCCAGAGCTATTGGTTTCTCACATACATGAGCACTGCATTCATGCTTATGAATTTAGGGTCAGATTCTAAACCCCTTACTCACAGTAAGCTATGTCTGTAATGCAGCTGGGCGCATGCTTCCAAGAAAGGGTAGACAAACGTGATAGCTCTGCTCAAGCTAACAGGTCAAAAATACTGCAGTGTAGCCAGAGGTAGCCTGGGCAGTTGCTTGGGTTAACAAGGATGTACCCAGGGGATCTGAGCAGGTTTGCACTCAGCTTGGACTAGCTGCCACCCGTGATACCCCCAGCTACACTGCTATTTTTAGCACATAGCTCAAGCAGAGCTAATGTGTGTCTGTCTAGCTGTGCTGGGAAGCACACTTCCAACTGCAGTATAGACAGACCCTAGGTTACTCCTTGAGTGATCCAGTTGGCAATGGGATTACTCATGGACTAAGCTACCATTTGACATGAGCAAAAGTATCAGAACTTAGTCTCTTAACGTATACAATTATTTTATTGTTCATATATTTGGAGTGTTTACTAGAATCATGTGAATAATGAATTTTTTTGGCTCACTGTGAGTTCAAAAAATTAGATTAAAGAAATCATTTTGGGTCAAGTTGAATGTGAATTGTTTCAAAATTTTTAGCAAATCAAAAAGTACTAACAAATTAATTTTAGATCACCCTTGACCCAAAATGAAATGTTCCATTTCAGGTTTGAGCATTCAATCTTTTTTTAATTGTTTTTCATTATACTGAAGGAAATTTCAAAATAAAAAGTCATTTGAATTGAAAAAGCAAAAATATTTCACTTAAAATGGTGAAACAAAATGTTTTAGTTTTTCTGGACTTTTGTTTGTCTGAAACAATTTGTTGAAAACATCACAAATTCATGAAATAACAGTGTTGATGAATCTGCATTTGTGCCTGTCCAAAAGAATTTCACCCAGTTTTAGTCTTTATTTTATTAATAATTAATTTAAAATTATTTAATGGTGCGTGAAATCCTTCCCACACACATTTTTAATGTTCATTTATTTTCATTTTTTTGTTAATAAACAATCAATGCATACATGCTTAATGTAAACTCCATTGGTAACACAACTTTCCTATCCACGCTTCCTTATGAGGGTTTGAAGAGATCATAGCTTTAACTTGCTATTCCTCTAACATGAACTAAATTTAAAGGAAAAGACAAATAAAGCTTCCATACTTATACATACCTGACCATTTGCCACCATGTTTTCCATTGCTTACTCACTGAGTTGAATAGGAAACACCAGTAGATTGTAGTGTCTCAAATTATCACAAATGGGTTTGACACAGGTGGCTCTGTAATTTAGATACAGCTATAAAAACGTTTACCCAGAAGAAGTTCTGGCTTAGAATACACATGAAAGTTGTATGCAAGCTGACCTGAGGATGAAACTCTCTCTCTAAATGTTGCATTGGGCTATTGCCTGACATTAAAGCACATTTTATCTGCTCTTCCAAAGACAAACTTTTACTTTACATTTCATAGAATTGCTTGGGTGTTAGGAACTAAAACAAAAGATACACGTTGGGTTAAAGCTAATCTAAGAAGACTTCAGAATCTAGTGCTGGAACGTGGTGATGGCTCACTGAAAAACAAATTGAAGAGATGAGCTTTAAAAAAAAAGAGAGAGAGAGACCCAGTGACCCAACCCTGACCCAAGTGCTGAGTGAACTTGGAACACTAGTGAAATCCTGATGGAAGGATGAGGAAGGGACAACTGCCCCCTGAGCAGTCACCTCAGAGCACCTTTGCAGCCACCCCAACATGATCCTTGCCACGAGAGAGAAAATCTCTGCTCCACTCACAAATATTGCAACTGGGAGATCACTGGGGAGTGCCTTCCTCAAGATATGGAGAGTGGGTTCTCCCCGGCTGAGTAACACCAGAGAAAACTGAGGGACTGAATGCTCCCCTCTTCCCTGGAGCACAATACAGTAGAGCAGTTCAGGTGGCAACATGAGCTCATCAGTCAGAACATACAATTTCTCTGGGAAGGGCTATTGGAAAATGGAAACAGCAGAGTCATCCATCTCTCCTTCACCCACAAGCACCTGTTTTCAGTAAACAGAGATCCCCCCCCCCCCAGTCTGCATATCCCTCTTCCTACAGATAGCAGGAGGCTTTGTGATAGTTAGTATCAACCCAGGTTGGCAGTAGCCCCCACAGGCCCTGTGCAGGAGATGCAGAGTAGGATGTATGGAGAGTCAGTCATAGGGCACTCCTCAGTGCTGGTAGGGGAGCTCCAAACGAAAGGGCTTAAAAGAAATTTCTACAGCCAACTCCAGAAATGAAAAAGGAGCTATTGCAGAGCCAGAAGTCAAACCAGCAGAGAAGAAACAGCTGCTAAAGAACAACAGAGAAAGCCACAGAAAGATGAAGACTGTTAAGAGTCAGGTTCTGTGACCATATGCAAAGAGTAAGTCCATGCCAGCTTGGCCAATCTTGAAGAACAATCTTGGGAGGGTTTTAAGCCCTGGGTTCTTCCAGGGGTGTTTTCATTCAGAGACCCTCGTCCCCCGTGCTCTTGGTTCCAGTCCGAACCGGCTTTCCGTGGCTCCCTTAGTTTCCCCAAAACACACTGGTTTCAGGGTCACGAGACTGTTGTTTTTCCACTCACTGACCTTCGTAATCTTACTAGTTTTGCAACCCTTTCAGTTCTGTCTGGCTCAGTTCTCCTTTCTCACGGCTGGCCGGGGTTGAGCTACAGGCTTCTGGCTGTTTGGCAGCAGAGAGCTTGTTTGTGTGCGCTGGCCTTGGGCTGCAGTTTCGTTCCTTATGTTCGGGCCTCGCTGGATTGTCGACTTAACCCATTCCTTTCTCCCTTCCTCCCCCTTCTGCCTCTTGTAACCTTCAAAGGAATCTTCCACTCCACACTCACACCTTCAACCCTTCCCAAGATACTTTCCAATGCATATAAAGGCGTTAGCAATATACAACGCTGGTGCTGATCCAGGGGACCCCATAGGGGGGCCATTTATTGTGACAGTCCCCCCCTCCTTGACCCCAAATCAACACCCCGTTGTAAGGGGTCACCACTGAGGTTTCTACCCTCCCTCTGACACTGTGGCTAGTGTCACCATTGGCCTCCTACACAAACAGCAATATAGCAAAAACAAAATTAGTAGGGCAGCAACAATTGCATACACAAGCCAGTGATGGCTTCTGGCTTCATTAGTAACATAGCATAACATATCCCCTTGTTGACATAGATGCCCCACCTGAATGGCTGTGGCAAAGGCAGCTTTCTCCAGGTTGAATGTGTGCTGTAACATTGTAAAGGAGGAGGCATCTGTTTGGAACAGGGTAAATTGCTCCCAGGTGTGCGATAATGGAAGAAAAACATTGGGTGTAATCCATGAAAAATTAAACACAATATAGTTAGAAATATTTACAATACTTTGAATAAGAGCAGGCCAATGCACTGAAAAATTTTGCGCTTGAGATTGTAACAGCAAGTTGAGGGGTACTCTGGGGTAGTGGTCCTCCAAACACAAGCAGAGGTATTGGTAAAGAAATGTGTTTTAGTGGAGGTGTATCCCGATGCCTCTCCTTCTCATCAGATGTGTTTACCCACCTCATAAAAGCGCCCTGGCATTGCCCTTTCTTTACAGATTATTTGAGGGAGCTCCATAGGCCATAGCTGCCAGGTGTTGCCCTCTACAATCCATATGTGGTGATAGTCAGGGGATGCAGTCAGCACATACCTCTTAGCCATGTCATGGGGTGGGGAGACACTTCCCACGTCGCGATGGACCACCCAGAGGCACTGGCCCACACTCCTTTCATGGGCCAAAGGCCATGAAGGTGCAGGCCATGCCTGTGCACTTTCAGTTAGTGAGCTTCCAGGAATAGTGAAAAGGCCAACACTCCCTGGGAATCCCTGAGTGGAAATGGATTTCCCTGGGCCATGCTCCATGGAGCACATCCCTCCTAGATGCTACGGACTTGCTCGGTCAAATATTGTTGGTGCTGGGAGCACACAGAATCCCAAGCTAGTTGGTCCCCAGCCTCAATTATGGCCTCAATCAGTCCCCGTAAGGCGTCTCGCGTGTGAAGGGCCAATTCAGCAATATGTTCGAGGGCGGAAATGGTCACTGTAAGGTGGGTGAGATCTGCACATGTGACCAGCCCCATGGCCTTTTCCAACTGTCCCAACCACTCGTCTCTCATGGCCCCTTGCTGAATATTCTAAATGCTAGCTGCCGAATTGGCCCCATCCCACAAGGAGCTCACCAAGGTCTGCTTTTTCTGGGGGGACAAGGCCTGCGTAAGGAGCACAAGTTGGAGGTTGGCCCCCCTGGTACAATTGGGAAGGAAGGCTGGGATCTGAAACGCTTCAGAGGCAAGTAATGTCTAAAGCCCCCAAGGTAGCATTGAGGAGGATCCAGCATTGAGTATCTGCCTCCCATTTGGTGGCTGGTAAAATTTTCCACCACCGCTGGTGGGGAGGAAGACGTGGAGGTGCTTTCCTAAGACGATTCCCTGAAGACTGGGGGCTAAGCAAAGGAGGCTACAATTTAGAAGGGATGCTGGAAATTGTTCGGGACACGTAATATTTACCTCCCCACACTGGTGGGATGTGTGTGTGGATGAGTGGGTGATATAAGTAATATACCAACATTTGGAACTACGGGGACTGGGTTAAACCCTACACTGTCCGGGTACCAATACCACAACCACATCCCGATTCCAGCTGTCAATGTGAAGCACTGACTCTGATGGCATGTTGAACTCTTCTGTAATGTTGAAAACCTCCCCATTTACCTTCTCATCAGTGGTCCACTCGAGCCATTGCTCCCAGGTTTCTCCTTCCCAGTGGAACCAAAAGTGTTGGCAGTACAAATAGAGATCTTTCTCCTCTAAAGAGTGGTGGAAACAAACTCTTTGCAGGGGGTTTAGATGGAGATGGGACGCAATGTTGTCCTGGGCGGTGCTGTCTCGCGGGGTATGGAGTTCTTCTGGGTTAACCCCATCTGGGACGCAATTGGGGAGGGATATGCAGGGCCAGGGGACCTGGGGCTTTCGGCAGGGGGCCACCCCTGGGAAAACGCCCAGGTAATACACGGTGCCACATTCCCAGGATGATGTGCCACAATTCCCCGTCTCCCCCCCCCCCCCGCCAATGGATAATAAACCTTTTCTTCCACTATAGCCAGTTTTGGATCGTGGTAAAATTAACAAAGGAGGACAAAAGCGTCAGAAACCCAAGATTCCCATAAAAATATGCCACCAAACATACATTGTATCACAATAAAGGATTCTTCACGCCTGAAGCAGCAAGAGCAGTCCCACCACTCCTGTTCGGGGTGTCCCTGGGCTCTCACTATTACTGCCTGTTCTGTTAACAAAGCAAAAGGGAAAGGAAAAGAACAACGTAAATACATCTATTGGGGGAAATTGAGGCACATACAAAAACTATTTAAGTCATTAGTCATCCCATTACACCCCTCCCTTGCTTCTGTCATGGATGTCATTTGTCTGGTTTAGGAGGTCATAACAACAATATTGCATCCAGAGATCAGAAATTACTATCGCTCGCCAAAGGGCCTCCCATTCCGCTCCAGGCCATATGAGGAGTGGGCTAACTTTCCATATCTTTGCTTCCAGAGCTTGTTGGTGTGCATTTTTAACAACAATTTTCCCAATGAAAAGGTCTGGCCTTACTATGCTAGAAACATACTGCATCCATTTGTATTGATAAGTATCAAACAGCGATCTTTTTCTTTGCTTTAGCCAGTGTATCAAAACGTTAGTGATTCCTGATATTACCCAAAATATTTTGTGTTCCAAGGTGGACAAAGCAAGTATCTGCATTTCAGTACATCTCATAGCTATAGCAATATGGTTTTTCATTTCCGTTTGTTTCTGTATTAGGCTGTCCTGTAGGTGGGACAGAGAGCTTAATTTATTTTTAATTACCTCCAGGTTTACAGTATTTATAATCCCTGCTCCTAATATGGTGTCTACTACTTGAGTATGTTTCCCTGCAGTATTTTTAATACACAACAGTGCTAGCAACAAGACAAACAACACAAGACAAAACATAGAACACAAAACACAATTTCTAGTGTGACAGTAGATTCATGGTATTTTGGGTTGCTCTTCAGCTGGTATCAGCTTTTCCTGATTTTCTGAAAGACAAAATGAACATGTTTCCACTCCTTTGGGGGTGGAAGATTATTGCTTAAAATATTCCTTTCTTTTACAATTACTCTTGCAATTTGCAGGCAAAACAGAGGAATTACCCCCATATTTTCCTATGTTTCTTCTATAGGCAGGCCAGGTTTCAATGGCTTCTATCTTTATCAGTTAGGTAATTTGCATTAACATGGACACTTTCTGTCTTGCTTTTGGATCCAAAGCCATTAACAGCTCAGAGACTCTGGTGGAAATTGATTGTGTCCCTTTTAAGACAGAGTTTTGATTACTTTTCACTTTCAACTCCTGCTTTTAAAACATACAAAGATTTGAAAAAGAAAACACAACCTATTGTGGCTCCCTTTGGAGTTGGGTCTCATATAGAAAATACCACCTGAACATATTTCTTTATGAATCTCTTTTCCATGCCCATGCTCATACAAAACACAAAAGTTTATATCAATCCCACATCTGTCCCTAGGTTTTTACCCTTCTGCCTTTTATACTCAGCATACACGTCTAACAAATCCTGCCAAGTTTGCACACTTTTCTGAAGCTCCACCATGGAACCCCAGGGATTGTGTCCCACCTTGGTGAGAGCCCTCGCCAGCCGGGAGAGGTCCTCACCCCCGCTTTGAAAGAGGCAATAGGGTCCCGTCCCTTTTTGTCACCCCTTCCATGGCTCGGGCATCAGGTCCACCAGCCTCCCATGACACCAGCGGACCAGGCAGCGGGACTCCTGTGTCCGCGCTACCTAATGCCCATGTGTCCAGCCTTGAACCCATCATGGATATCCGATATCGTGACCTTTCGTTTCCTGAACATGCGGACACAATTCGTTAGTACAACCAGTTAGAACAGTTGGTGTGCTCCTCAGAGCCGCCCCCCTCCGCACTTCTTCACCAGAAATGTGGCAGATTTATGTTACCAATCTGCCTGGGGCTTCAGGTGATCAGGCTGAGGCTGCAGGATCTTTAGGGGAAGAGATGAAGGAGCACACCAAATGACTAAATTTAAAGCTTTATTAACCAAATAACAGCGGTGAGTGCAGGGCGCGCCCCATGTCACTCAGAGGGAAAAAGAAAGCGTTAGTGCCTGAGTCCTAACCCACTTTCATACTTACACATGCACAACTCAAGACTGGCCAAGCCTGAGTGTAACGTAAGAAGAAGGGGGGGAGGGTAGACAAGAGTTCTGCCCTGTGCACAGATCGTCTAGGGTCCACGGTAAATCTCTGACTTGCTTCAGCTCTCGGGAGGGTTTTAAGCCCTGGGTTCTTCCAGGGGTGTTTTTGTCCAGGGACCCTCATCTCCCATGCTCTCGGTACCAGTCCGAACCAGCCTTTCGCAGCTCCTTTAGTTTCCCCAAAACACACCGGTTTCAGTGTCACGAGACTGTTGTTTTTCCACTCACTGACCTTCGCAATCTTACTAGTTTTGCAACCCCTTCAGTTCTGTCTGGCTCAGTTCTCCTTTCTCACGGCTGGCCGGGGTTGAGCTACAGGCTTCTGGCTGTTTGGCAGCAGAGAGCTTGTTTGTGTGCGCTGGCCTTGGGCTGCAGTTTCGTTCCCTATCTTTGGGCCTAGCTGGATCATCGAGTTAACCCATTCCTTTCTCTCTTCCTCCCCCTTCGGTCTCTTGTAACCTTCAAAGGAATCTTCCACTCCACACTCACACCTTCAATCCTTCCCAAGATACCTTCCAATGCATATAAAGGCATTAGCAATATACAATGCTGGTGCTGACCCAGGGGACCCCATGGGTTGGGGGGGCATTTTATTGTGACAACTTGACTTCAGTATTTCCACTGAGAGTGCCCCCCAAAATATTTTCTAAAAAGGTTTCAGTGTTGCTCTAATCAGACCTCAATATATTTGTCATACAAGAATCTTGAAAAGAGTATAGTCCATGGAAATAATCCATACCTCATACCTACAGTGTTTTACTGAATGAAAGGTACAGTGCATGCTAGTGTTGGGGTAGAAGCCAGCTGGATAAAGCAGTAGATGGAAGAGCAGTGTTGAAAATGGAAAAAATTGAAAGCGAAATTACTGTGTACTCAAGGGAAGAAACAAGAGAAGTATAGTGAGATCTGAATAATGAAATGTTAGAAAGAGACTCCCACAGTGGTAAGTTTTAGGATCTCACAGCACTTTGTTTACTTTCTACCTCACTGGCCTGAAATAAGAAATGTGCACTCAGGTCATGGGGAAGGAGGTCTAGTCAACGCAATGGAAGAGGGAAACAAAATTCAGAGCTAATCATAGGCAGATTACTTGACTAAGTAGGCGTTTTATGGAATTCAGTGTTTTTATAATTAGGGACTAAAAACATGCCAAGGGAATACGTGTACTCTCAGAGGTGATATGCTACATAGAGTATCACAAATCCAGGGAAGAATATGAATACATTTTGTGACTATGAGAACTATAATATTTCCCACACAATATCCAAAAGTAACCAGTGATTTTGGATGCCCAATTTGAGATGCCTTATGGGAGCCTGACTTTCATAGGACAAGTGCTCAGTACTTTCTGAAAGCCAGACCACAGTAAGGTGTCTCCAGTTGAGCACCCCAAAACCCTTTATCCTCATCTGGTGTAAACTGACCTAGCTTTTGACTTGAATGGAACTACATCATTGTATATCCGGTGAGGAATCAGCCCAATCATTTAAAACACATTAAAACGCTTATGGACCAACAAAGAAACTGGCCGTTCTTGGTTTCTGAGTCCAAGACTGCTGACGTATAAAAACCTGCATTTTTCTATTTACTAGTTGTTATGCAGTAGGGCTGATTCACTACTGTTGTCCATTGAGATCCATAGAATTACACTGGTGTCAAACTGAAATAATGTAATAGTGAATCAGTCCCATTGTCTTCTTTCCATACAATTTCAGTGAAATACGAATGACAGCCTTTCCATATTCTTAATATTTTCATTTTATCACTTAATATGACCAAAATATAAGAAGTAAATGAAAGGTCCAAGCCACAATGGAAAAGAGGAATCCAAACAATGATAGACTTAATACTTCAGGAACATGGACAGCAAGGTGTACGTCACACTTCTATAGTGTGTTGCATCATGTTCAAAGTGCTCTACAACTGTTCATTAACTAAAATGCCTCCTTTCATCCTCCCATAGTAATTAGTAGGAAAATGGGAAGATGTTAGCAGTGTTAATTTGCACACATACAGTACAACGTAATACCTTTGCCATTTATTAATTGGTGTGAGAGGAGAGAGAGATTTTTAAATTGGAAATGGTTCAAGGGAAGGAGAAGCAACACGGTTACCTGCTCAATTTAAGGCACCCTGCCTATACCCTACCAAGGGCTCAAGGCGTGACCCAATCAATTTAGGCACCCCCACCCTTTCCCTTCCGAGGGCTCAGGGTGTAAGACAGCTATGGGACTCAGGAATAAGCCTGGTCAATTTAAGTACCTGCCCTTTCCCTCTGGGCTCAGGGCTCTATGGGTCTGCGAAACCTTTTCCCAGTAAAAGAGCCTTAAATAGATGTTTAGAGCACAGCTGCGTATTAGCAACACACACAGAATACATATACCAAGCAAATCTCTTATGCTCACCTCTTCCAATATACAGACAAATTTCACCCGGTGACCACTCAGGATTCATTCATCGGGGGTTACCGGCGAAGCCTCTGCACATCACGGTCGTGCAGAGGGGTCAGAGTTCTAGCAGCTTGATGTTTCACTGCAGTCCGGAAATAGTTCCCAAAGAGCATTGTTTTTCATTTATATTATATAGGTAAAACTAACTACCTCCTTCAAATTTACTAAACCTATCACATTATACAAAATTTTTAATCAATTACACACTGGCACCTATGTGTCCTCCTTCCTGCCCAAGTTTTTTACATATTGTCTTTCATGCCCAAATTGTAACTTAGTTGTGACCTTCTTTATTTGTCCAGATGGTCAGCATAAAACACTGGTCAGAGTTTATTTTACCATTTGTTGAGTCTCTTTCTGTACCCTCTCTAATTTCCCAGCATCTTTACAACATTGGTGGTTATAACTCATGTCAGGGACATTCCTGAGGTGGGGGTGCAATATCAGCAGCAGAACATTCCTTTTTTTCCAATTTTAGTAGTGAACTCCCTGAGTTTCGCTCAAGGCTGGTTTAATATGGGGGGGGGGGGGAGCATTGATCAGGTCTCAGGCCTA